CTCGTTTCATATGAAAAAATAAAATAAAATAATTTCGCAATTAATTATAATGTAAGAAATAATTTATTAACTAAGTTTGACAAATAAAAACTATAAAAGAAAATTATATTATTTTTGGAATAGATAATTAGATATGATTATTTATCTTTTATAATCTATTTAATATTTTAACATTTAAAATTAAGTGTTTAATTTTTTATTGTATAATTAACAAAAAATGATAATAAAATTATAAAAAATAAATAAATTTTACCATTAATCAAAATTATAATAGATAATCTAATTTTTAAAAATAATACATGACTACTTTTATATTTATTAGAAGTTATAAATATATATATTTATATATATATATATATGTATATATATATATATATAATTTAATGGTTACGGGTAAACGGGTAGGATAATCGAGTCGGGTAATGGGTTTGCCTACTATACCCGCACCCGACCGGACCCGGGGTTCGGGTAGCATAATTCTACCCTAACCTGACTTGAAACCTAATCATCTCAAGTTTACCCGACCCAAAAATGCGGGTAACTGCTGGCAACTCGACCCTACGGGTTTTATTGACATCCCTAACCAGGAGGGGTACACAAAAGGCACGGTAGGGTAGGATTAGGAGGAAAAAAAAAAAAAAAAAAAATTGTCGGAAAGAGCAGAAACCCAATCCATCTTTGTACATATGAATTTAAGGTGTTCAATTTGAATTACCTTACCATGCATGCATCAAACAAAAACAACACTTTGCAAACACTCTTCTTCACACTGCCCCCAAAAATGTAAACAAATAAATCAAAACCTAATATTCTGCGATTCACTTTGCACCGCAAAAAAAAAATCAAGAAACAACCAATCAAAAGCCCAATCCATATGCCTATAACTTGCAATTCATCACAACCTATAAGCACTACGGCCTCCTAACCGTGCCTCTCACGTTGACGAGGCAAGAGGAGGGAAAACTGAAATTAACCCAGACGAACAATCAATAATTTTCGCCCAAGCATATTTTGACGAAAAATATACAATGGAGATATTGACATGGTAATAACAATCGAAAGCGTATGTACAAACGAATCACCACTGCTTCACGTTCGGCAATGGGGGCAGGATTTTAAACCGAACCCCAAAGCTGATGATCATTTATCTGATCTTTGATGTAAAAACACAAACCCAGAATTCTGACGGATTAAAGGAGGAGGCTCCACATCAGCCACGTCTATTTGTTGCATGGATTTGGAGAGATCATCTACGGAGAAAGGAATGCTGCCAAGGTTTTTGACCAAACAAAAGTTTTATACTCGGAATGTTAGCACCATAAAATGCATGAACTAAGAATATAATATTTTTTTTTTGGTTCATCTCAAACCATTTGTGGCTTCTGGTGGAAGTGGAATAATTCACATTTTAAAATAGAGAGGCGTCAATACAGTACACAAGAAGCAACTTCACGGCTAATCAATTGTCTGTCATATAGGAAAATGTCATTGTTCCTCAAATAGAAAGATATATTCGAGTTTTCATTTAGTGCTTCAGTAACTGAAAATTTCAACATGGTTGGACAACTAACCTGGAGTCGTCGTCTAACAGAAACGAACTGCTCACTGAATTGTTGGAGTCCTCCGTCATCATAACTCTCATACTTGAAATGACCTATGTAATTAGTTAGGGTAGAAGAATATCAGCAAACAGGTGAGAAAAAAATGAGAGCTCAACAAAATATGCAGAGTTATGCATCAAGGCAAGCTAATGTACTTTGTAAGGTGGAGGCAAACAGTCGAACACAAGTTAAAGGAACTTACATCGGAAGAAACACTGTGAGTGCCATATTTGTCATCCCAGTACATGGTACTAATCCTGTATAATTGCTGGATACTTAGCACCTGTATGAATGATGAAATTGTTTAGAATTCAAAATGAATAAGAAATGAGAATGAGAGAGAGAGAGAGAGAGAGAGAGAGAGAGAGAGAGAGAGAGAGAGAGATGGCTGCAGGGAGGTTCACTCACAGGACAAAGTTCCTTCGTTATTTCATTCAAGGTCTTCTTGGGCTTTTGATGGATGACCTAAAATAGCAGTCAATAGGGGATCCATTTAGACCAGCATATTTAAGAAACAAAAAATGAGGGTAAATAAATCATCGAGACTGGGGATTTTGGAAGTGAATGTTGATACCCACCAAAAATCCTACAGCCTGCTTGATGTGCTTCAATTCATCCCAAGCTGAGCCTACATACTGTACACCATAATTTGTTGGTAAGACATTAATTGAGGTCTCAACAACAGAATACTAATGATAGGCTTACTTCCTCGGTCGCATAACAACACCATTGCTCTAACTCAGCTAACCCAGCTTTCACATACTCTCCATTGCTGAATGAGCAACACTCGCGCCGTAAAAGAAGACTGAGTAGTTTGAAAGAAAATAAAGTTAATTCCTAAGTGTATGAGAAAAGTTTCAACTGGGCACTACTCATATCAGGCTATATAGTTCCGTAAAAGACAGACTTGCCTGTTGAATAATTGGACATTGATAAACGAGAATGTTTGAGTGAAAATCTTTCGGAGTAAGAAAGCAGGAACCTGTAAAAAAACATTAGAGCAACATAAAAACTTTCAACTGGCAGAAGAAAAGAGAAAGAGTAAGGGAACTTCGAATCAAGAAAAAAACATCTTATCTTACATAATTTGCTTTCATAATCTTCAAGTAATTGTCCAGGTTTTTCACAATGGTCTGCCAATGAGCAATTGGTGCTTGTTGAGCAACAGCATTTGCTTGTGAGCGTCCTTTCACTAACCTAGCACGGGATGTTCTGGGGGCCTGCACGAAAATAAGGTTTTGAAATGGAACAGGAATCAGTTGTTTGCTCAACCGAAACCACACTTTTCTAGACATCCAAATAATAATGAATTCGCAAAAACTCTTTGAGCTACAATGACCTAAAGTAAATCGCAAATTTACCCACATCTTCCTTGGTATTAGTGAATAAATGCTTTAAAAACACTGATGTACATATAGGATATTAGAAAAGGATGAAACAGAAAGTATTATGCAAATTAACTAAAATGGACAGAAAAGAAGCTCATCATGGAAACAGGAATGCCATTCTTGTATCCTTTTGTTGTATTCAGATTTCCTTGAATCATTAACACCCACAAGATGTACAAAAGACTGAGTGAGGGTTATCTAGCATATAGAATCCAAGAACAGAACCCATTATTGCATGCATGATTTATTGGTACAATTACCTGGATACATAAACCAAGCAAAGGGGAAATCTCTTTCTTCAGATTGTCCCTGATCAATCCATATATCTTCTCCAGGAAAGCAGTGAGTTGCTGCTTAAACAACAACGCAGGATACTTGGCTTCAACCTGCCTCAAGTCATCAAGTCTACCAAGCAGCCGGCTGTTGAGAAATGAACTCTGTGGAGATGCTCTCAAACCCTTCATATACAGTGAAGAAAAATATAGGCATAAGAAATTGATAAATGTCATAGCAGGACACTTCGAGAGACAAGTTATAAAGGATAGGCACATACCTGCGACATCCTTCCAAAAAGAGAAGCTGATGATGTCCTTCGCCTTTGGGGGGTCAAGCTAGCTGCTCCACTTGCTTTGAGGGTGTGTTGAAGTAGCATCAACAGTGTGGATGCATTACATAACCAGTAAGCTAATACATCATTATTATCAGGAACCTTCATTAGGATTTCAAATAATTAGTGTTTGTAATGGTAAATTGGCAGTTGGACAAGATATATAGATAAATTGCACTATTTATGTATGTGTGTGTGTGTGAGAGAGAGAGAGAGATATCAAGTTTACCTCTACTGCTGAAGCGACAGTTTGAATAATGCGGTCAAACACACTAGTCCTCTCAACCTCAAATGACCTCCAGTGGAGAAGGCTTTTGTAAATGACACAAGCTGCAACTGGTTTGCCACCCGAAAATCCCAAATCTTGTGAAATGCACTTTATCAGGAGGTCCTGGTTTTCCTAATGAAAGACCAGCAGATTTTGATGTATGCATTAGAGAAAACTATTATTTTTGGGTTGTAGGTGGGATAGAAATTAATAGAAAGCGGCACACAGCATAATATTAATATTGATACAACAAGCAGCCATTTACTTGCTGCTTATCATTAAGAGATTTCTGCGGCCTTTCCTCGGATTCAGTCTCCTTTGGAGTTCCCACAACAAGGGTAGTTTCCTATGACACGCGACAATACATAAGCATTACAAAATTTAAAGCTAAATATTCACACAGATGCATAATTTTCACATTTCCAAATTACAGCATAAACACTGCCTTACATGTACAAACTTTGTTTCTCCATTTAGTATATGTCCATTCTCCGGAGTTCTCTGTAATGATACCAGGAAAAATAAGAATATCTCAATAACCAAAAAGCGCTCAAAACAATATATATCAGCATTACCTGAATAATAGTCGTCCTGGGCCGGGCAGATATGGACCTCCCTGTAGGTGACATGGTCAGAGCTTGTTGACGAAGTACTTGATTCTCCGATTCAAGATTTGATAGCTTCTCTTCAAGCCTGAAATGAAAGATTAAAAATCACAAATAATGAAACGCAAGCAAACATGTCGGTAGAATTCTGGGGGCAGTAATTTGTTTTAATTTAGGGAGCTGACTGGAAATTTTCTTCTTACACCATTCCTTTCAGTTTCCGTCCCCCGAGGAAAAATGTTACCTCTAAACACAGTTTGACTTATTATTACTCGAGAAAAGACAAATACAGAGAAAGTTGATGTTTCTTATGGTGAATAATTTTGAGTTCAAACTAAACATCACAAAGGGATGGAGCAGCGAAGAAGCAACATAGGTATTTATTTTCTGCTGGCAAATGCAAACAACAAGCAAAGAAACTCCACGCAAAAGCAAAAAAAGAGGTGAAAGGTCATTCCCCAGCCAACCCCCAGGGCGCGATAAAGATAGAAGGACTATGACCAGAAAGAACAATATGATTAAACTTTCAATTTGTGTTCATACCTTTGCGCAGAATCTTGAAGCTGATCCAGTTTTCCCTCAGCTTGCTCTAATTTTTTAGCCAACTCCTTGTTTCTGGCCTCAGCATCTGCAGCAGACTTTTTAGCTTCTTCTGCAGCCTGTTTTTCTGACAGCAGCAACGACTACACAGGAAATAGACTACGATTACAGGAGTGATTCCACACCCTGATTCTCTTTTAAGCTTGTTAAATGATAAAATTATCACAAAGTTTAAGCAACTTATTACGGAATTCCATTTTATCTAAAGCGAAAAAAAAAAATACAATGAAAAGAAAGCCCTTATTCGGTCATCACCGATCATACAGTACAGCCGCTTCACTGTTTCACAAGTACTAATGGAGATGTAAGATTTACGGAAATTCAGCCAATTGAGGAAGTTAGTTGTGTGATGCTAAGCCTTACCCTCTTAACAAAGTTAGAGAAAATGAGGAAACATGTGATTGAGAAAGATGCTGAAGTATTGATATTTTATATACAAGTAATTCCGCTTGTTAGAAAAGTTCTACCATCAGACTTTCAACTTCAGCTGTTAATGCATCAATCCTTGCCGTGTCTTGGACCATGACTGGGGTTTCTTTAATGACTGGAGGAGCTTCTTCAATTGCTTTCCGTGCTGCTTCTTGTTCTTTTATCACTCTGGCATTTGCATCTTCCACTTGTATTTGCATTGACTGCAATGCCTCGTGTAACTTTGCAATCTCTTGTGCTTTTGTTTCCTCCAGCTCAGTCTAAATTCGAGAACAAAAGAAAGAAGAGTAGTTTCTGTCAGTCAAGTCAAGAAATCAAGAGTGATCGATCACCAAAATTCAGGCAAAATAGTTACCCTCAATCGTTTCTCAAACTGCACGCGCCATGTAAGCTCCTCAACTTTCTTTTCTAACTTGTCCTTCGCTTCTTTTAGGGCCCCTGTTTCCCTTGCAGCCTGCACCAATGCACAAACATGGTTACTCTTGATGCAAAATGACACCTGCTTTCCAAAAATGAAAAGGCATAACAAGCATAATTCAGAACCATTTTCAGCTGTCGGAGCTCTCTCCTAGCGATACGTCGCCTCCAGCCACATTGAGTTACAATAGCAGACTTTTGAAGGTTTCTATAATAACTATATTCTCGGTGAGAACGAATTTGAGCCTGAAACAGGCAATAAAATCAGCATCTCGGCAGTGTATCAACTTTCTTTTACTCTCCAAGTTCATAAATCTTGATTGAACTTCTGCAGCACAAAGTAATAGTAAGACCTGAATTTTGATAGCAGCCTTAGTGTGTTGCCTGAATCTGAATTCATTGCGAGCAGTCATTGCCCTCATGCCAGTCTGCACTATGATAGTCGAATTCTGCAACGTTGAGTAGGATACCCTGGCAATGAAGCATCTGAAGTTCTTCTGAATCTTGATTGCAGCAGCTTCTTGTCGCAATTGCTCATACAAATTGCAAGCGGATATAGCTTACAAGTGCAAAAAGGAAATTAGAGTTGAACCTGGAAGTTTCTAAATAGACAGAAAACACATTTAACAAATTGCTTTACAGGTTAGACAGGGATATTACAACACCACAAAATCTTATGTTTCAGTCAACCAGCAGGTACGCATATGCCCGTGGTCAATTGGTTCAGGTAGCACTTGACTGGTAGAATTAAATTATTAGCCGGACACACCACAAAAGGAATCTTCACATTTCTAGATAATGTATTTTCTAATCAAGTATGATTTTGTTGAATATATCCTCCCCATCTGAAGGCTTTAGCATTTAGGGAGATGATATAGATTAGGATCACAATCAGTAATATAATTGTAATATTGTAATTTAGGCCCACGCTTTCCTTTTCTAGTTTGCTCCTACTTATATAAAAATCATTGTATACTGTACCCTTGAATATATAGAATACATTGCTTCATTCCTCTCAATATGGTATTAAGGGCCATGTCAGGGTTTTCGGTTCTCAGACGGACATAGTCCCAGTTTGCTTTCTGTTTCATAAGTGCCTATTTCGGGTGAGTTTCGAGTCTCACTTCCCCCTGGGTTGACTCGCCTTACATTTTATAATATTCATGAGTACGATATATAATGATTTATATACTAATTTAGGAGCAAACTAAAAAAGGAAAGTATATCGACGGGCTTAATCTACGAGATTACAAGTATATTACTGATTGTTATCCTAATCAAAACCATATATACATCAACATAATCTAATAATTGCAGGCACTCCATCATGTGCGTATCGCTATTATGAACTTGGCACATAAAATATTTTGCAAGGTTGATGAGGCATCTTGTTTGGCTTTGGTTTGATCTCATATCAAATAACCACCTCAAAGAAACAAGCTTAAACTTTGTACTCTAAGAAGTCCTACTACTTGCTAACAACATATGCACATGCTTTCTTGTTTGGAGCTCCTCTTCTAGAACAAGTGATGAAAACTGAAATCAGGTCTGGAAATAGCCATTGAGAGTTACCTCGCCAACATGATTGCAACTGAATGGCAGCTTGGCGCAATACAACAAAATCTTTCCGAGCAATGTATGTACGTATTTGCCTTTGAATTGTTCTGGCTGCACTTCCAAGAACCTCAGCTCTCCTAGCATCCAGCTCAGCCATCTGACCAGCTCGTAGGAAAACCTTTGTCTTACCTAACTGCAAACCAGAGCATAACACAGCAATAATATTACAACAATATCTTACCCTGCAAATGTAAGACTGACCAATGAACATGGACAGCACGTATTAAATTTGTTTAACCCTGAAGTAGTAGTTAATTGGTATCCTTGAACTACATCCAAACTTATTTGTGTGTAGTTCAACCGTGACAATACCATATGACAATGTACTCTAAAAAGTACGCAAATCATGCAGTAACATTTAATAAGTACACCGCATGTAATTTACCAACCTGGTAGCCCGTTAGTCCCATCTTATCCAAAATCACCTGGCATGCAGCTTTGTCATCAATGCTACAGGAATAAATGTCATGAACTTATGCACAAGCAACACAGAAAATATAAAATGAAATGTGAAGACAGGTAAACATGTAAGCATGCCAGATACTGCGCAAAATTCAAGAAATAATTGGTTTCAACTTTCAAGTGCCAGAAGAACTTACTTCCCATCCAAAACGTCAGGAGCAAGAACACCAAACCGGATAAGGAATTCATCAAATGTACGTCTAGTGGGGTATCCAGCACAGCTGATTCTAATAGCTTCAAGAACACCCTATATCATAATGAAAATAAATAATAATAAAAAAATGCTGAACATGATTCATGAAAACCTAGAAACACAATAGTGAGATTCTGCAATAACTAGAATTTTTACAAAAACACTTACACCACATCGCAGTTGTTGAATTATGTTAAGATTCTCAAAAATGGCTGGCCTAAGAACATTGTTTGGTTTCACACATCTGATGTAATGAGGTTCTGTTGAATTCAACGTCTCCATTAAAGATTGTAGTTGTAACTGCAAGCAAAAAATATAGTTCATAAGCACCATGAACTTAATGTTGTCGAAATAAGTGGAACTGCTACTGCAATTGAAGATTTAACATATCCCAAGGAACAAGTGATACAACTGAGTGAATATAAACAATTGAGAATTTAGCAGATACTTATTATGTTGCCTGAACATGTCAAGGAAAATTTTGAATTAAATGGCAACATCTTGTATTCACAAGAAGTGACTACTAGCTGGGAAATACCCAAATGGGCCTAGAATTTTTAGCACTGGTAGAACAACCAGTTCAATACAAGTGTATTTCAAATGAAAAGCACAGATAATGACTCAAAACGAAGGTACATGGAAGAGTGAGATAGAACAAAACCTTAAAACGTGACCCTATCGAAGAAAATTTGGAGGATTTTGATGATTCTTCAGGAAGAGCGGGATATAAACCAGCTACAAAAGCACACTTTGAAGCTGTTAATAAGTCTTGATGTTCTGCCACCACATAATCTTTGTTCTTATCCAGGAACAGATCTGCCAAATATGTGACCTATGAATATAAAATATAGTTAACAATTTCCTTGGGAAACAGTGGTCTTCTGATCCGAACTTTTTCTCTAATGCATTACCTTCCCTGCATAATGAGCTATAGTAAAATTGGTCCGTGAGAGTTTCGGTTTGATGAAGCGCTTATGTTTGGCATATGTCTGATATAACTTCTGAGCAAACGTTTCATGAGTAGATTTAGGAAACATACTGCCACAAACAACAGTATCAAGTGTCAACAATAAATACACATCCAGAGAGAAGAAAAAAAAAAAAAAAAAAAAAAAAAAAAAAAAAAAAAAAACGCGACACAGTTGAAATTATTCAACGCGGTTATTAATCATAATACAATAACAAGAGAAGACCAAGGATTATGAAAGCTCAGCAGCGCAGAGATGGAGGATGCACATGAAAAAAATGAATGTTGATAAAATAAGATTATTAGAAGGCATACCAAGCTTCATCAAGCAGGGCAATTACTCCTCCAGGTTTCTGCCAAAAAAAAAAAAATCGATAAACTTGGTGAGCACTATGACAGTGAAACAATCTAAATTCAAGGAAGTATTGCAAATTCATCATCCATGTAAAACTTGGCCAACAATATACTTAATCGAAATATCTACATAAAAGCAACAGAAAATGCAATAAATAAATATAATGCCATGGTCTCACTAACCTTCTCAATTAGATCAAGAACATCTTGGTTATCAACAAACTCTATGTAGCTCCAGTTTATTTGTTCTTTCTCATAGTCTTCTTGTTCCATCTTGAATACATGCTGAAACAATTCACCCGAACCTCCAGTAATCAGATCGAGTTACTTAGTTAAAAACTAGGAGTACTACAAAAAAAGAAAAAAAAAAAAAAAAAAAAAGGACCTGGTTAAAGTGCTGCTGCAGTTTTTCATTGGTGAAATTAATACAGAACTGCTCAAAGCTGTTGTATATGTAAAGAATATCAGGCGAAGATCAATATCTTTAACGTGTACTGAAAATGAGAACACAAATGGGAGATTACCTGTTGTGCTTAAAACTTTCAAAGCCATATATGTCAAGAACTCCTATTATTGCTTTTGAGTTAGGGTCTTGTCCAATGGAGTTATTTATTTTTTCCACAATCCTGTCATGAAGAACAACAGTTCAATATGAATTGCAAACACATGACCAAAACTTTTCTGTAGTGTCCCAAGTTAAATTACTGGACACTGTTTATACCAGTCAAACAAACGAGAATATATTGTCTTTGCCAAAGCATCCCTGCTGCCCAAGGCAGCCTCTGGATCAAGAGTTCTTGTGATAACTTCCTCAGGTGTCACCATCACCCGCTTAATCAGTGCATCTTCTAAGCTCCCTGGGTCACACCTATTCAATCAAATTCGTCATATACAATTTACCAGTAAATCCAGTTAGAAACATTCACCCAAATTCAAAAAGATAACACCCCTACCTGAGTAATTCGGCAGTCGTATTGAGATGAAACCTTGACTTCTCGTCCTTAATCACAGAAGAATCAATTTCCTTTCCCTTGGAAAACTCAATATTACCAAGATGAAGGATTGCTGCAACAACCCGGAATATAGCAGCCTGAATAAAAGATGAAATAACTTGACAAATTGTATAGAAAAATTAAAATGTTGAATACTTGACTAATGAAGTCATTTTAAGGCTAACCTGCTCTTCCTCGCTGATCCCAACTATATCCATTGCCCTTCTGGTTGCAAGGTATTCTTCAGCATCACTTACTCCAGCGAGTTTATAACACTTAGACTGGTTCAGATAATGAAATGATTTTGCGTTTTCCAGCTTATACTTCTCTCTTTCCTGCAGAACAAGACTCGGATGATATCAAATCTGAAAGCATATCCAGCGACGTGTGGATTAAAGCTTTCATATAAACGGGGAACTAAAATACAAGGAAAACTCCAAACAGATACCTCAGGTGGTGCTGCACATAGAAGGTAGAAGCAATGGTAGTTTCTTTCAGGATCAGAAATTTGGCAAACACGAGATCTCTCCAACAAGTAAGTTCTAACAGCGGCTCCAGATATTCTCCCACTTTGGTCAAATTGGATTTCAACAAATTTACCGAAACGACTGCAAAATGCAACACGGTGATAATCATTTCAGTGAGTCATAGCTAACGTTTCATAGGATATGCATTTATCAAAATGATCATCCAAGTATCACTGACAAATACATCTTTCTCATATTGTCAAATGCAAAGATTAGACATTCAATTACCTAGAGTTGTTGTTCCTGACAGTTTTGGCATTTCCAAATGCTTCAAGCACTGGGTTTGACTGATTCATTTTTCACAAGAAAACCAAATGAGAGAACAGTTGTTTCGTGACCATAATTTGTTCCTGAGATTTTATTTATTCTTCAATTTTCTTTTGGCAGAACAGAGGTCAGAATCTAATTAAAATATTAAATATCAATTATACTTCTAAAACTTGTTGTTCAACTGTCCGTCCTTCCACTCCAGAACGACCACCCAAGTATGCAAGATACCTCATCAGCATTTTCGTCGTTTCAGTTTTACCAGCACCACTTTCACCACTAACTAAAATGGAGTTGCTCTTCCCTTCATTGATCATTGCCCTGAGCACAAAAAGCAACAAGGAAAAAGGCAGTGATGCCTCATCTCAGCCCAACCAACATACACCTCAAACACACAAATCATGAATAAGTTCATTTTGCATATTCCAACAAATACCTGTAAGCAACATCAGCAATTGCAAAAACATGAGGACTAAGCTCGCCAAGGGATGCCCCTTTGTATTGCTCCATCATGTGAGTATCATATAGATGAGGTAATCTTTGGAAAGGGTTTATTGCGATCAGAATATTTCCAGTATATGTCTGAGAAAGAAAGACATATGATAGATATGCTATTCATATGGAAGGGAAAAAAAATAAAATTAATGGAGAAACCAAAATTTGCACTTCTGTAAACAAGAGCAGCTTTTAAATAATAATTATAATGACACAAAAAACTTACATATATTTCATTAAGTTCATATCTAGCAGCGAGGTTTTGCAGAACTCCAGGTTCATGTAAATATGAAAGCTTAGTCATATCATCTACACCTCCAGGTGGAGCTTCAGTATCCTTTGGAAACACTTTTGAGATGTTTGCAACAACCTGCATTCTAGAGTACATTAGATTTCCCATTTCAACTACTTCCAAGCAAGAGCAGCATGAATTAAAAACAAGAGATGATGCTTCACCACAATACAATATGAAGACATTTTTTGGATCTAAATATAAGGCGTTCACTTGGAAAACGTACTTGAAGACCTCATCAAGATTAAACAATAATATGTCTAAGAAAAACTGAAAATTGGCAAAGAAACTCATAAGCATCATATGTTGAAGACAAATAAGAACTACTCTTTGAACCACCTTTTTTCCATTTTTAGTTTGAACGTGAACATCTTGGCCATCTATCCGGTTCACTTGTCCATCAACCCATGCCAAGACTGGATCCTCAACCCATACATGAGAGCCAACAATGATGTTAACTGGTGATGCCTGCATGTTAGAGGAAAAGAATCATCAGACATCTCTCTGAACTATAATAGCTCGGTGATATGGTACCTCATGCTCACAGTCAACCAAATGTCTTCACTGAGAATAATAATACCCTGTTCGAATTTAATTCTTTAAAAACGACGATTAGAAAAGGAAAAAGAAAAAGAAGAGTTATCGCCTTGATTAGAAAAAACCAAACTTCACAGATACTATGGTCATATATCCACGGGCATATACTCGTGTGCATAAACACATAGGCATTTATTAGTTAACATTATATAAATGATTATATACATTGAATTGTAGTGTGCTTATGTATTATTATGAAGAAACCCTTGGAGATTAGATGATCAAAGTAGTTAATAGATGTAGGCAGTAAGAAAATATTTGGTTGAGAGGCAGGATAGAGACAGTAAAAGAATGGGGTTTGACGTGAAAGGAACCGATACAGACTAAAGGAAGAACCGGAGAGGCACTTTCAGGGGCTGAAAATAGCAACCATGACAAAGGTCCCACTGACAACAGATTCATCAGGGGAAAGGGTGAGACAGCTCTTGAAGTGGATGAAGCAACTATGGAGGTAACTGACACATTGCGACGCCATGGCAGACGAGGGGACAATGACACTTCGTGCATGTTGTGGAGTCGTGTTGCAGTTTGTATAATTTAGTCTGTAGATTCAATTGGTCTCCGAGTTGGATTTATTTTCATTTCCCCAGGTTACATATGTTGATTCTTTCAACCTCAAGCTACGTTATTAACTCCAAGTGTGTTTAAAGGAAAATTATGTAATGAAAAAATGATGTCAATAACACAACAACTACAAAAATAAAAACCTAGTTTCAGTTATAAAGAACTAAATACACCATCAAAGAAAATTAATAAGCATGCCTTTTGAAGTCTATGCATTCTGGCTCCTTGTAAGATCTATAGTAAGTTCCATTAAGCTATATATCTAATTATTTCCAGACTGAACTTTTAAGAATTTGGGAGAAATGACTGAGGAAGAGGATCTTATGGTACAAGTTCCAAACTGAAAGCTACTGTTGCATGATTTTATATATACATATATGTATGTGTGTCGGTGTGTGTGTCGGTGTGTGTGTCGGTGTGTGCAGAAGAAAAAGAAGAAGAAGAACTATGTCAGCATTTGTAGAATGAACAACCCTATACAGCTATACCTGACTTGTACATTGGCGGCTTCATCATAATGAAGCTAAAACTGGGACAAGGACTTCCGAAACTGTTTGGCTACCATTATTTTAAAATCCCGTAAAGTCCATCTAATCTAGGACTGTTTCACAGCTTAAGATAACAAAATAACAATTCAAAGTAGAAGAGCTTTTAATAACCTGTCCCATATACTAGGACTGAAGCTGTGAAGAAAGGCCTACAAGTTTTGGATTTTTTCACAGCTTATAGCACCGGGCACGGGACTATTACTCTACAAAAACTATAACTAGAAGCATTGAATTTCTGCAAAATTATCAACTTCATTTATAAGGTAAAATAGATCATATCACTAATCTCTAATTTACCGTGTCCCTAAGGCACAGTTTCACCATTTCGAAGTTTTGAAAAACCGTTTAAGCTCCCAAACTAAACAATTCCTCTGAAAATTTGGCCAAAATAAATTCCGGCTCACGAACACATCAGTGCAATTTTCCTTTCTACTTCAACTTTCATCCACCGAGTCTTTTGGTGTCAAACAACAGCCACCATCGTTTGCCTCTAAATGCAATTTTTCAGGTCCGACTGCCAAATATAGAAAATGCATACCCCCTACATATATACATGCATCTATAGAAACAAGTATCTCGCCGGTGGCTACCAAATTGAATCAACTTTGACCAAAACCTCAGACAAAATGCTAATCAGAAACACATCGAAACGGCAGCTAATGAGTCGTTTTACGACATCAACGTACCATCGGCGAACACACGCGAAAGACTCGGCTCCTCTGCTCCTCAGATCATCAACACAGAGCGCGATCAAGCCTCGACTAGCCGAGCAAGACTGTATCCGGCCTCCGGTCGGAAACTCCGACACGTTACCGGCCGGCGGATACCAAAAACGAACTAAAGGCAAAGCTCCTCTATCTCCTCCGAGCAAAAAAAATCACCAGCTGCTCGTTCTGCTCCAACTTTTTGCTTCCCAATTTCAGAAAACGAAAAATGTCAGTGTAGGCGTGCACCGCAGGTATACGCGTAGATGTGTGTATGTGTGTGTTTTTTGCGGAAAGTAGAGGTAGAAGCTTTCTCTCTCTATAATTTTGCTGGACGGGTTGTGTGCGTTTGAAGGTGTATTTTCGTTTGTATTTTCTCTCTCTAAAAATGTGTGTGCGCCTGTTAATGGCTGGTCAGGTAGAGGGAAGGTGGAGGCCCTCACAGAGGAAGAGAAGCGAGATTAGAAAAGGCGCTTTACACTAAATTCGACATTATTATTACCGGAAATGTTTATTAACCATACCTTCAAAATTTATAACCGTTATCATCATGTAATCGTCGTGCATAGTTAATCTAACGATTACAAATTCAGACGAAATAAATTCATAATGGGACTATAGAATCTCTCATTGTTAGGAGCTGATTATATTTGCCCTTTGAGTTTTGAGTATTTGTTTTTTACGTTTTTGCCCTCCGTGCAATTATGATTGGGGAAATCTTTAAAATTTACATGAATTCTTACATGAGGACATTAATGCATATTTTTTGAATAAAAGTGCATAATTTTGTTACTAAATATCATATTCTCTCCTATTTTTTTTAAATATCATTCTCATTTTATCAACTATTTGTCAAATAAATGTCATTTTGGATCTTTTCTACATATTTTTCTATTATTATCCTCATTTAGCTAATAAATACATTACGTCTTTTCATATTTACTCTTCATTTTTTTCTCAAAACATTTATCTCTATCTTCATTAAATAGAGTTATTATTGACAAAAAAAAATATTCTTAATTAACGTACAACTTCTCAAAACGACATATATTAAAAATAGGAGGTAGTATTTTTTATGTTTTTTTTTAATAATGTGTATATATGTTGGATAAGTATGGATGTATAACTATGGCTTACTAACACCAACCTTGTTGTAAATTTTAATATTGTAGAAAAAGAACATCAATGACCTATATTATAGGAAAATACTACGGTCCCGTTACGGAACTATTCCGTCGGGATATATAATCGTTAGATCATCTATTTGCGACGGTTATATGATGATCTAACAATTATAAATCTTGACAAAATTGTTCCGTAACGGGACCGTAGCATCTCCCCTATATTATATCCATATACATAGTTGAAATATTTATTATCAATAATAGCCATTTTGATGTAGGGAAGCGTGAACGAATGGGAAGGATAAAGAGATACTCTCTCGAAAAACGACACAAGAACAGATATTTTAATTCATCAATCAACTGAATAAAACAATAGATGTGGAACCCTTTAAATAAGACTTCTAAATATTATTTCTAACTTGTCCAACAAGACAAGATCTTTAATAATATCTAAGCCTAACTTATTCTCCAAGATAATAATAATAATAATAATAATAATAATAATAATAATAATAATAATAATAATAATAATAATAATAATAATATTCTACACCATTCTCCTTCGGTTCGGAAGGCTTCGCCCTCGAAGCCGATGCGCTCCCTTGGCCGGCATGTGGTGTCGAACTCATGGTAGCAAACCCCGTCATTTTCCCCGGTCGAACACGAAGGTTGAATAACGCTCAACTTCACATAATAATATTTTGAATGAAAAACTATCGTGTTTCTTTGAGAGAGTATCTCATTCTTTGAGTATCGAGAGAATATCTCGCATATCTCGTTTTATCTTCCCATTCGTAAGCTTTTCCCTACATTAGTTGGTATCAGAAGTCAGCACAATTCAATATGCCGTCGCGGAAGGACGACATCGACGGGCGTTACGCCACCATTGAGTATCCGGGTCGACAAGCCACGGGCTTCGGCTGCCAGATCAATCAATTGGATCGTCGGGTTGGGGATCTTTCGACGGGGATCGAAGAAGTGCGTCTTACGATCAACAACGTGGTTGAGGATAAGCAAACGTACTGTGACGTCGGCAACCGGGGCGTGTGCGGGGGAATTTTCGGAGGACGTGGAGGCCGTGGTCCAGGCGGGGTGCCCCGCTGGAGATCTCCACAACCACCGTCCGGTGACGAAGACGGCGAGAAGACAGTCTCGGAGGTGAATTCCTTCGACGATTTTCCACCCCCGCACGTCGAGGCTGACCCATTCGCTGCATACAGCGGTCGTGACATGCGGCGACGGGGCCCGGTCTTTGTGGACGGCGACGATCAACGCGACGATACAGGCAAGCGCGAGGAAGCTGCCGACGGATCTCGTGCTCGACGCGATTGGGAATTTGATCGTGATTATGGTCAATGGGAGGGCCTGTTTCGTGTAGACATCCCTGAATTCGACGAAGAGCATGTTGACGGTCCATTGTATGATGGTCTGCCTGTGTTTGATGAAGGGCCCGAGGAGGTCGAGGAACGTCTTACCGGCAAAGTGGACGGTCTCTACGACGGTCCGCCTATTTTCGATGAAGAGCCTCTGGGGCCCGAGTGACGCTTTCTGATTTTGGCTTGTGTAAGCCACTGGAAAAATATTTATTCATGTTACTAGAGGTTGCTGATTTTATTGCTCTGTATTCTAAAAATGAGTACCACGGGCATTTGGGCACAGAAACTGCGCTACAACAGTGGAAACGCAATCATCGTTCATTGGCATGTCACAAGATAATAAATTGGAGACCATGTTTGAAATTCCCTGAAGAATAAAAAATATATTATAAGGCTAAAGATCTGATCCTCCATCTGTTATGTGAAGTTGAGCGTTATTCAACCTTCGTGTTCGACCGGGGAAAATGACGGGGTTTGCTACCATGAGTTCGACACCACATGTCGGCCAAGGGAGCGCATCGGCTTCGAGGGCGAAGCCTTCCGAACCGGAGGAGAATGGTG